AGAGAGAGAGAGAGAGAGAGAGAGGGAGAGAGAGAAACTCTGGGAACCATTCCCTCTCTTCTTCCCTTCCCCTCCACCCTCGGGCTACGCTCTCAAATTAACAACATACCAATCTCTAGCGTTTTCTTATAACTTTTAACCGTTTCGCCCTAGCTTCCAACAACAGTGATTCCTCCTCCCGGAGAACCAATTATTCTCCGTTCGCCTGCTTAAATCGCGATCCACAGGACACTATCGCGCACACACACCCGGAATAGAAAAGCGTGTGCAAGTTGCCGCGGAAGGTATTAAAACGAAATTGTTTGATGTTTGGAAAAGACGAGCGGAAGAACCTCCAGCGCGTTTAATCAAAATGGAAATTCATCATGCGTTAGATGTTCGCTGGCAAAATTGTAGTCCTAGCCAATCAAAGGACGGCCGGGATAAACATAGATCCCCGAGGTTTCATCAAAGAGGCTGACGAGTCGCGCGCCTCCACTTGGAAGCCGGGCTTTATTAATGTTCATTCGTCAGTCCGTTAATGAAGGTGCCTCTTCGAGACGGTCTACGCGCCTCTAACCCAGAAGATCATCAAAGCGTTCACGGAATAATGAAACGGTGTCGAGTCACGCTCGAGCTGCCCGCCGCCGATTAGTTCATGCCTCTTTATCGATAACGGTCTTATTGCCTAATTGTGTCCACCGCTGGTCTACCGCTTCGGAGCGATTATACGCCGTCGAATCGAAACGAGACCGCGAGTGGTCGAGCTTCTAGCTTCGGGAGCGGTCGTCGACTACCAGCCGAGTGCAAATCACCCGTTAGCGACATTCCAAAAGTGAATTTTTGTGTAAGTAAGATTCGTAGAAAATAAATTCTTCGACAATTTTCGAAAGACGCTAATGGGTCATTTTTGACTGGGCCGGTAGTTCTACTGTCAATCTTCGTTTTTGTCCTTTTCGTGCGAACGAAGAAAGCGGAAACGAGTATACTCCGGGGAAAGAAGAGTAAAATTGCAGATATTTTTTTTTCCAGATTCTGTAAGGGCTAAATAAAGCTCAGACTGTTTCTAAAGATACTCCATAATATCGTGCAAACCTAGCTGCGGGCGCCAAGAATGGACTCGCCGCGAGTAACTATTATCCTAATAACGAGGTAGCGCAAGGATATTGCCAATATCCTCTCGGCTTACGTATGCAGCCGTCTGGTTCGAAGTCGATCGATTCCAGCGGCGAGGACTCGAATCTTGATTAGCCTCGTCCGCCCGTTGAATTAGACGTCGCTCTTTTTTTCCCCCCTTTTTTTCCATCGCCGACCATGCGGGCTTAATTAAAGAGGCGTTCTATTAAGGATACGCTTGTACCATTCTCGCGTCTAATACGACAGAAATAGCTATTTACGAAAGAAGTTCGATAGAAACGATCGTTTAGAGATTGAAATTTGAATTTAAAAAGGGAAAATACTTCGGTGCAACGTGGGTTGCCCGATAAACGGAGTATTCACGTGCTAGGGATAATGGAGTAACGTTGCGCGCGCATCACGAGCACGTGACAGTCTGTGGGGAATAGTAGAAACAGCGGAACCAGTGATTTCAGCGAACAGGTGGACGATAGGAATTTTTCCAACAGCGAATACCGATGAAAAAGACAGAATTTCTTTTTCTCTCCGTAGAAAGGTATCGAATCGAGGGAACAATATCGGCTGAATCCTAGTAGGAGCCGCCTCGAGTCCTTGGCGCGGTGTGAAAGCGTTATCTGCGCGCACGATCACCGGCAAATTAATCACCGCTATGCATACCTGTCGGCTGAAAAGAATTTAATGGCGTTTTCATTGTGGCGAACGCGTCGTGGGAAACACGGTCGCGGTAATATCGAGGGTGTGAGATTTTCTTCTCGGCTGCTACAACACGCCAAGAACATCGCTAACTAAGAAGAAGAAGTACGAATACAGCTGAAACAACCATGTTTCAGCGGGTTCTATAGGTCTGAACAACCACTTTATAATCCCAGACGACTTCGAAGACAACATCTTTCGAGGAGAAGAACGACATTGAAGACATGTTTCCCGGAGGAACGGGGAAATTTTTTGTCCTGGCGACGATCGAAAGCAGCTCATAGAGCAGGGTGTGTGCGTGTGTGTGTGTTAAAGAGGACGATAACAAGAAAAGCTAGCCAGAACGGTTCGGA